ATCTTCGTGGCAGTCCTGCAGATTCCGAACACCGGTCGCAACATGGGGCGGGAGGAGAATAGTGCCAACACTGGCATTCAACCGAGCGTTCTTGGAGACCCGAACAGGGGTCTCGCCAAGGCAGGATAAGGCGGCCAAGCGGGAGGCTGCATCCTGAGGAGCAGCAGCAACGACACTCGTACCGAGACGGGTGGGGTTGAAGGTAACAGAGGCGTCTACCGAATCGACAAGGTGCCTATGGAGGGAGAAATCGTCAGGAGGCGAAGAATCAAGAGGGAGGAGATCAAAGTATTTGGCCCACGAAGCGGGACCAAACAAGGCTTGAAACGCATCAGTACGGGAAGGAATCGAGCGAGCGTGGCCATGGCGAGGACGGCGTTGAGAACCCCCAGAGAGAGAGGGGGTTAAAAGGCGCAGTAGTCACTACTAGAGACTGAGCCGTGCCAGGGGACGAGGTGGTCACCACTGGGGGCTTGGGGCTCGACCCAACCACAGAGGAGGGAGGGGAGCCGAGGGGAGTAGTCAGGAGGGTCAGAGGAGGAGCAAGGTCGGGGCCCAATGCAGCGGGGGCTACAGAGCCCGGTCTTCCAACACGGTCCGACTCGGGGGCTTGGTCGCCCACCCCACGAGCCCGAGAAGGTAAAGGAGGAACAGAATTAGACATAAGGACGAGACGAAAAACATTCATTCACGAATGTGCCCCCATACCCACCATGGAGCCACAATTAGAGGCAGGACACCCAACAAGAAGCTATCGCCGATCATGCCGGGGCCCCCTAGGGGTGCGTCGTGAGTATACGCCCTACAAACGCCACCTTAAGAACCGTCAGTCCGTCGAGATCGGGTTCAGTGACGAAAGGAGGATTGACAATAAAAGGTTCCCCTCGCTCTCGACGTTGGGTACTACAGTTCTACGGGTGCAAGAGTATGCCTCCCCAAGCACCCGGGCGTCAAAATAGAAGAAGTCCAAAAGAATAACCAAAACAAGCAAAAGGTCGGCAGGAAACGACAAGCAGATAGGAGAAGAGGGGGGAGAAAAACGAAACATAAGGAAAAGGAAAAGCGATCCGGCACAATTGGAGAAGACAGCAGCAGGAGCATAAGGCCACAAAAGGACAGAGGACTGTCCCATGGAGCATCACACTCCGGCAGCCGACCACCAAGCCCCCTCACGGCGCCAACGGGCCGGATGGGGAGGGGGTAATCTTTCGAATGTTTCGAATCCTAAAGTTTCGAATGGAACTCCGATGTATCCAGCATTACAGCTGGAACAATTATACATTTATACGATACTAGAGTTTTAGAAGTTTCCTCAATTGACTTCTTACAGAAAAATTAATGGTGCCGTAAAAGGTAGTTTAATATATATAATATCCCTTTCTACTGTAGTAATCCTACAAGAAAGGTGAAAATTCTTATTTAAAAAATTCTTAATAAAAATAAGTACCATATGAGCAGGGTAACCATTATTTGAAACAAAAATCAAAAGGAAATTAATTTCTTGATCATCGTTAGACCAATTTGAGCATAAAACAAAAACTATTCAATAGAGTAATAATTGCATTTTTTCTTAAAAATATCTGGAACGAGTGAATTAATAATAATAATAATAATAATAATAATAATAATAATAATAATTTTTATTTAGGCAAAGGTACATACATAAAGAGATTTTACAAAGTTTGTTGGCTTTATAGATAGAGCTAGTACATACAATGCCTAAAGCCACTATTACGCAAAGCGTTTCGGGCAGATTTTCGGGCATAAATTAAAATTTATGACAAAACCTGTAAAAGTTGGTTTTCTATAAACATTAGTGTTAAAACCATTAAGGTTATTCACTTGACATCAATAAACAACAACACATTATCCCTTTCACACTCTGCAGTGAAACGTATATTACAATGTTGTGCATAAAGGTACTCTCTAAATTTCTCAACGTGAGATTGGTCCTTGAATAACAAAGAAGTGTCCTGAAAGTAATTCCTGTAGAAGGTAATGTGTAAGGTTGGGAACAGGTAAGTGAAAAAGGTAATTCGTAGAAGGTGAGAGTAAGGCGAAAATGTAATAATAGGATAAAAGGTACTAATGGGATGAGTGTAATAATGGGATGATGGAAGAATAGGATAGGTTACAGTAAGAGGGAAAGAAAAAGGGGATAGGCTTAAGTCAGGTCACGTTTGTTAAAAAGTTTAGAGCATTTGAGTATATACTGTGAAAGTCAATTGCAACAAAGCCACGACTAAGGTTCATGTTGGGTATGTTGTGTATCAGAGCCGATTTAACAAGACAGCGTCTGTGAAGAGCCGTGGTGTAGTGGTAAGACACTCGTCTGGCGTTCCGCGAGCGCTATGTCATGGGTTCGTATCCTGGCCGGGGAGGATTTACTGGGCGCAATTCCTTAACTGTAGCCTCTGTTTAACGCAACAGTAAAATGTGTACTTGGATGAAAAAACGATTCTTCGCGGCAGGGGATCGTATTCCAGGGACCATAGGATTAAGGATTTGCCCGAAACGCTACGCGTACTAGTGGCTCTACAAGAATGTAACAACTCTTGTATATATCTCAAAAGAGTAGAGGCAGGGAAGATTATTTTAGAAGAAGACCAATCAATAGGATGATTAGAATCCCCAACATGACAGAGGAGAGCATTGTTTGTGTCTGAAGACTTAACATTTCTTTTGTGTTTCTTGAGTCTGTCATTAAGTGTACGGCTAGTTACCCCAAGGTATTGGAGAGGACATGGGCCTGCTGCCCGCTCCAAGCAACAGCCAGTTGGACCAAGTCTTCAAGTCAAGCCTGGCCCCTGGCCGGGCTTGGAGAGTAGAAGAACTCCCAGAACCCCATCCAGGTGCAATCCAGGTACCTAGTACCAGGTACGTTTTTCTGTGATGGTAATATATCTGGTACCAGGTACATTAGAAATATTTTTTTTCCAGTATCACAGTAGTTAACAGATGGAATGCATTAGGCAGTGACATGGTGGAGGCTGACTCCATACAAAGTTTCAAATGTAGATATGATACAGGCCAATAGGCCCAATCTATACACAAGTTGAGAGGTGGGACCAAAGTGATGAAGCTCCCCCCCCCCCCGCAAGCACAATTAGGTAAATACATAATGTTGGATACAAGCTCCTGCCCCTTACTATTACAACATTATATTTTAACTGATCCATGACATGTTTAAACACCGCATTGGATGCAGACTAGCTGGATAATAACTAATGAAGTCCCAATATACCAAAAGGGTGACAGGCAAGAGGCGCTGAACTACAGGCCAGTTTCCCCTAACTTATATACCATGCAAGGTGATGGAGAAGATTATGAAGAAATGGCTCGTAGAACATCTGGAGGGAAATAGCTTCGTAACACACCACCACCAGCATGGGTTCAGGAATGATAAATCGCGCCTCACAGGCTTAATAAAATTCTATGATCAGGCGAATTAGGCAAGAAAGAGAAAGGTGGACAGACTGCATTTTCTTGGATTGTCAGAAAGCCTTAGACACAGCACCCCATAAAAGGCTGTTAAAAAAGGTGAAGCAACAGGCAGGAGTAAAAGGTAAAGTGCTTCAGTAGATCAGAGAGTATCTAAGCAATACGAAACAGCGAGTATCTGTGAGGGGAGTAGACATCAGAGTAGCGAGATGTCACCAGCGGAGTCCCACAGGGCTCTGTACTTTGACATGTCCTGTTTCTAATATATATAAACGCTCTTCTAGAGGGTATAGATTTATTCCTCAGAATGTTTGCTGATGATGCAAAACTTATGAGAAGAATCAAGACAGATGAAGATAGACAGAGACTACAGTACGACCTGGATAAACTGGAGGAATGATCTGGAATTGGCTAATAAAGTTTAACGCGGGATAGTGTAAAGTAATGAAATTAGGTGAAGGGAGCAAAAGGCTGAACACAAGATACCATCTGGGAGGAGAAATCCTGTAAGAGTCAAATAGAAAGTAAGATCTGGGGGGTTGATATCATACCAAACCTGTTCCCACAGGCCTACATCAAAAGGATATCATCAGCGCCAGATGCTAGATTGGCCAACTTAAGAAATGCCTTTAGAAACTTGTGAATGGAATCGTTCAGGGCCTTGTATACCACTTACGTCAGACCAATTCTGGAGTATGTAGCTCCAGCCTGGAGTACATACTTAGTTAAATAAAAGACAAAGAGAAGATTCAGAGGTATGCCACCAGACTAGTCCCATAACTGAGAGGTATGAGCTACGAGGAAAGGTTAAGGGAGCTAAACCTCACGTCCCTGGAAGACAGAAGAGTAAGGGGGAGACATGATAACCACGTACAAAATTATGAGGGGAATTGACAGGATGGACAAAGAAACTATTTAGCATGGGTAGAACAAGAACAAGGGTAGAACAAGAACAAGGGGACACAACGGGAAATTTAGTATCCAAATGAACCACAGATATATTAGAAAGAACTTTACATTAGAAAGTGTCAGAGTATTTAACAAATGAAATGCATTAGGAAGTGATGTGGTGGAGGCTGACTCCACACACAGTTTCAAATGTAGATTTGACAGAGCCCAATAGGCTCCAGAATCTGTAAACCAGTTGACAGTTGAAAGGCAGGACCAAAGAGCCTAACCTCAACCCCCGCAAGCACAACTAGGTGAGTAGACCAAGGCGAGTACTTAATTTACAATCAACTTTTGACTTCAAAAGTTTTGACAAATCACGAGAGTTGATGTAAGCTCCAGCTGTTTATTCTCACCTATTGATCAAAGAAGGTTAGAGCTAACAAGGAAGTAAGGGCATCACTGAAATGGGGTTGACTTGCTTATATCAAAGGGTAAAGAAATTCTTACATCATTGTGCAAACAGTCTTAAATGATTGGTTACTCGAAGCAATCATAATCCAATATAACTTGGAAACACGTTAATTGACTCACTCTTATGGACGAAATCTCTTACGACTGCATCATACAGACTTAAGTTACTTGTTAGGATAATTACAATTCAGTTTTACCTTGCGTTGCCATCTAGGTCGGTGTAGGTAGACCTGTAGAAGCCTCTGAGCTCATCATTGAGGTAGCCGAGGAACTGCATGGAGAGGATGTAGTTCCTGCCCACCTCCAGCTCCTCCGCCAGCACCCCGGTGTAGAACTGGCGGTCATTGTCGTAGAGGTTCTGCTGCACTTCTATACCAGTGCCATTCACGTCGTCGGATGGCACTACCTGTGGGAGGTCAGTGGTCATTAGTACCACCTGTGGGAGGTCAGTGGTCATTAGTACCACCTGTGGGAGGTCAGTGGTCATTAGTACCACCTGTGGGAGGTCAGTGGTCATTAGTGCCACCTGTGGGAGGTCAGTGGTCATTAGTGCCACCTGTGGGAGGTCAACATTCATCAACGCCTGAATATACTACTTAGACCGTTTTGTCTTGCCATACTAATCCTGTTTGTCATCGTCACCAGGTGGTGCCATCTGCCCCGGCAGTTCAACAGGAGCTTCTCCAGCGCCTCACCTGTCTCTCTGTTAGGTTCCAAAATGAAAAAATATATCTAACAATTTTTTTCTTAAACTTATTGAGCCTCGAATCAGAATGATAGAACCGTTCTCATCGCTCCTACTGCCTCTCCTTCACCCACTGGGTGTTCTGCCTCACCAACACCTTCCTCATCCAGCCCTGGGCCAGCTGCAGCTGCCTCACCAACAGTCACCTCAACCAGCCATGGGACAGCTACAGCTGCCTCACCAACAGTCACCTCAACCAGCCATGAGCCTGCTGCAGCTGCCTCACCAACAGTCACCTCAACCAGCCCTGGGCCAGCTGCAGCTGCCTCACCAACAGTCACCTCAACCAGCCCTGGGCCTGCTGCAGCTGCCTCACCAACAGTCACCTCAACCAGCCCTGGGCCAGCTGCAGCTGCCTCACCAACAGTCACCTCAACCAGCCCTGGGCCAGCTGCAGCTGCCTCACCAACAGTCACCTCAACCAGCCCTGGGCCAGCTGCAGCTGCCTCACCAACAGTCACCTCAACCAGCCCTAGGTCAGCTGCAGCTGCCTCACCAACAGTCACCTCAACCAGCCCTGGGCCTGCTGCAGCTGCCTCACCAACAGTTACCTCAACCAGCCCTGGGCCTGCTGCAGCTGCCTCACCAACACTCACCTCAACCAGCCCTGGGCCTGCTGCAGCTGCCTCACCAACACTCACCTCAACCAGCCCTGGGCCTGCTGCAGCTGCCTCACCAACACTCACCTCAACCAGCCCTGGGTCAGCTGCAGCTGCCTCACCAACAGTCACCTCAACCAGCCCTGGGCCAGCTGCAGCTGCCTCACCAACAGTCACCTCATCCCGCCCTGGGTCAGCTGCAGCTGCCTCACCAACAGTCACCTCAACCAGCCCTGGGCCAGCTGCAGCTGCCTCACCAACAGTCACCTCATCCCGCCCTGGGCCAGCTGCAGCTGCCTCACCAACAGTCACCTCATCCCGCCCTGGGCCAGCTGCAGCTGCCTCACCAACAGTCACCTCAACCAGCCCTGGGTCAGCTGCAGCTGCCTCACCAACAGTCACCTCAACCAGCCCTGGGCCTGCTGCAGCTGCCTCACCAACACTCACCTCAACCAGCCATGGGCCAGCTGCAGCTGCCTCACCAACACTCACCTCAACCAGCCCTGGGCCTGCTGCAGCTGCCTCACCAACAGTCACCTCAACCAGCCATGGGCCAGCTGCAGCTGCCTCACCAACAGTCACCTCAACCAGCCCTGGGCCTGCTGCAGCTGCCTCACCAACAGTCACCTCAACCAGCCCTGGGCCAGCTGCAGCTGCCTCACCAACAGTCACCTCAACCAGCCCTGGGCCTGCTGCAGCTGCCTCACCAACAGTCACCTCAACCAGCCCTGGGCCTGCTGCAGCTGCCTCACCAACACTCACCTCAACCAGCCCTGGGCCTGCTGCAGCTGCCTCACCAACACTCACCTCAACCAGCCCTGGGCCTGCTGCAGCTGCCTCACCAACACTCACCTCAACCAGCCCTAGGTCAGCTGCAGCTGCCTCACCAACAGTCACCTCAACCAGCCCTGGGCCAGCTGCAGCTGCCTCACCAACAGTCACCTCATCCCGCCCTGGGTCAGCTGCAGCTGCCTCACCAACAGTCACCTCAACCAGCCCTGGGCCAGCTGCAGCTGCCTCACCAACAGTCACCTCATCCCGCCCTGGGCCAGCTGCAGCTGCCTCACCAACAGTCACCTCATCCCGCCCTGGGCCAGCTGCAGCTGCCTCACCAACAGTCACCTCAACCAGCCCTGGGTCAGCTGCAGCTGCCTCACCAACAGTCACCTCAACCAGCCCTGGGCCTGCTGCAGCTGCCTCACCAACACTCACCTCAACCAGCCATGGGCCAGCTGCAGCTGCCTCACCAACAGTCACCTCAACCAGCCCTGGGCCTGCTGCAGCTGCCTCACCAACAGTCACCTCAACCAGCCATGGGCCAGCTGCAGCTGCCTCACCAACAGTCACCTCAACCAGCCCTGGGCCTGCTGCAGCTGCCTCACCAACAGTCACCTCAACCAGCCCTGGGCCAGCTGCAGCTGCCTCACCAACAGTCACCTCAACCAGCCCTGGGCCTGCTGCAGCTGCCTCACCAACAGTCACCTCATCCCGCCCTGGGCCAGCTGCAGCTGCCTCACCAACACTCACCTCAACCAGCCCTGGGCCAGCTGCAGCTGCCTCACCAACAGTCAGCTCAACCAGCCCAGAGCCTGCTGCAGCTGCCTCACCAACAGTCACCTCAACCAGCCATGGGTCTGCTGCAGCTGCCTCACCAACATTCAGCTCAACCAGCCCTGAGCCTGCTGCAGCTGCCTCACCAACAGTCACCTCAACCAGCCATGGGCCAGCTGCAGCTGCCTCACCAACAGTCACCTCAACCAGCCATGAGCCTGCTGCAGCTGCCTCACCAACAGTCACCTCAACCAGACCTGGGCCAGCTGCAGCTGCCTCACCAACACTCACCTCAACCAGCCATGGGCCAGCTGCAGCTGCCTCACCAGCAGTCACCTCAACCAGCCATGGGCCAGCTGCAGCTGCCTCACCTCACTTCAATCCTCCTACAGTCCTCATCTGGCTATGGTGATTCTTCTCGTTTCCGTCTTCATATTAGTATAATTATTTGTTCGTTTATAGTGCGCATTTCTCACTCTTATTAGGTTAGCAAAAGAACCCTCACGTAGTGATCCTGGAGGGAAAATTGGCACTTCAGGAAGGTACAATTACGGCCTCGCTGCCTACAGGTCGACGTTCAATCTCCGAGGGTTACAGTGGTTGGCCACTAATCCGTTTACCCGTAGTCATATCCAATCTCTTTGTCCACATAACTCTCCCACCATCATCATGGCTGTGGAGGACTCCACCGTGGGCACCGTCCTGAAGTATGCAGGGGATAGTCTATGACAGCTCGTGTTACCCGTCTATGACAGCTCGTGCTACCCGACTATGACAGCTCGTGCTACCCGACTATGACAGCTCGTGTTACCCGTCTATGACAGCTCGTGCTACCCGACTATGACAGCTCGTGCTACCCGACTATGACAGCTCGTGTTACCCGTCTATGACAGCTCGTGTTACCCGCCTATGACAGCTCGTGCTACCCGCCTATGACAGCTCGTGTTACCCGCCTATGACAGCTCGTGTTACCCGTCTATGACAGCTCGTGTTACCCGCCTATGACAGCTCGTGCTACCCAACTATGACAGCTCGTGTTACCCGACTATGACAGCTCGTGTTACCCGACTATGACAGCTCGTGTTACCCGACTATGACAGCTCGTGCTACCCAACTATGACAGCTCGTGTTACCCGCCTATGACAGCTCGTGTTACCCGTCTATGACAGCTCGTGTTACCCGCCTATGACAGCTCGTGTTACCCGCCTATGACAGCTCGTGTTACCCGCCTATGACAGCTCGTGTTACCCGCCTATGACAGCTCGTGTTACCCGTCTATGACAGCTCGTGTTGCCCGTCTATGACAACTCGTGTTACCCGACTATGACAGCTCGTGTTACCCGCCTATGACAGCTCGTGTTACCCGCCTATGACAGCTCGTGCTACCCGCCTATGACAGCTGGCAGCATAATGACAGCCCATGCTCTTGAAATTGTAATACTTATAACAACTATTTGTTATAAAGTATCACTGTGCAGTGATGGACCACTTGCAATTCACTTTTCTAATTCTAATTATGAAATCTGGATAAAAATAAAGCTAACATATATTATTCCCAGGACTAATATAACACCTATATGAACTATATTATACCAAAGATAGCATGAATTAGGTTTAGGATTACTAGGAAAGGTTAGGTTATGTTGCTTTTATTACAGTTCTCTACCTGGCAAAATTTAGTAATTCAAGCGTCAACTTTTTAGTGGTCCAAAACCACATATTTGTACTTGCGCCCAAATAGTTATTGTAAGTACTTTCATTTTATGGAGATGGGCTGCATTCGAATAAAAAAGTTTCCCACTACTGAAGCTTATATTGTAGCTTTCAGGGGCTAGATTCACGAAAGCACTTACGAACCTGTACATCTTTTCTCAATCTTTGGCGGCTTTGTTTACAATTATTAAACAGTTAATGAGCTCCGAAACACCAGAAGGCTGTTTATAACAATAACAACAGTTAAATGGGACGTATTCCTGCTTGTAAACTGTTTAATAAATGTAACCAAAGCCGTCAAAGATTGAGGAAAGATGTAAACATTCGTAAGTGCTTGCGTAAGTCCTTTCGTGAATCTGGCCCCAGGAGTGCAACTGGTAGCTCGAAACTTCCACCGCTTGACAGGTGTTTAAAATTTCAACAGACCCCAAATCGTTTCACCGCCAATCATAGCAGACTCGCAACACGACGCAAGTCAGTGTTGCGTCGAGTCGCCGACGCCATTCTAAGTTCCACGTAAATGTCCTGGGCCCAGATTCACGAAAGCACTTACGCAAACACTTACGAATCTGTACATCTTTTCACAATCTTTGGCGGCTGTGTTTCCAATTATTAAACAGTTAATGAGCTCCGAAACACCAGAAGGCTGTTTATAACAATAACAACAGTTGAATGGGAAGTTTTCGTGCTTGTAAACTGTTTAATAAATGTAACTAAAGCCGTCAAAGATTAAGGAAAGATGTACACGTTCGTAAGTACTTGCGTAAGTACTTTCGTGAATCTGGTCCCTGATTCTTTATGTAGATCCAGTTTCGGACGGTGATCTGGCAGCTTATATATATCACAACAACTGACAACGAGCAAATGGCACCAACAATGTCTCCTTTCACCTCTACCCCGCAGAACTTTTGACTCTCCCTTAACGCGTCCAGCAGGAAAACTCTCCGTTTGCTCAAGAATGAGGAGAAAGGCAGCCTTATCGGCACACTACTGGCTGCCTACTGAATAATTAGCCAGCAGGAAATCTCTCCGTTTCCTCAGGAATGAGGAGAAAGGCAGCCTTATCGGCACACTACTGGCTGCCTACTGAATAATTAGCCAGCAGGAAAACTCTCCGTTTCCTCAGGAATGAGGAGAAAGGCAGCCTTATCGGCACACTACTGGCTGCCTACTGAATAATTAGTGAGATGAGAGCTATCACGAGTGACTGATATTATACTGTCTCTTAAAAATGCTCCGATGCTTACCTTGATGGTCTCATTCTTGGTTATTATGTCAAGAATATGGAGGGTGATGTTGGAGGTCGGCTCAAGGACTTCTATCTCAATCTCCACATATCCAACAATGCTGAAGTTGCCATTGATGAAAGGTTGAAGTTTGACGACATAGTGGAGAGGCTTGAGGGCCGTGGGTAGTCTAATATCAACTTCCTCGCTGCCTTGTGCAACCACAGACGCCTGCCGGGGATAGCTGCTTCTCAATGGCTGCAACATGTCAACACTATCAGCCTCAATAAACACCCCCACACACCAACACTATCAGCCTCGCTAAACACTCCAACACTATCAGCCTCGCTAAACACTCCAACACACAAACACTATCAGCTTCGCTAAACACCCCCACACACCAACACTATCAGCCTCGCTAAACACTCCAACACTATCAGCCTCGCTAAACACTCCAACACTATCAGCCTCGCTAAACACCCCAACACACCAACACTATCAGCCTCGCTAAACACTCCAACACTGTCAGCCTCGCTAAACACCCCCACACACCAACACTATCAGCCTCGCTAAACACTCCAACACACAAAAACTATCAGCCTCGCTAAACACTCCAACACTGTCAGCCTCGCTAAACACCCCCACACACCAACACTATCAGCCTCGCTAAACACTCCAACACACAAAAACTATCAGCCTCGCTAAACACTCCCACACACCAACACTATCAGCCTCGCTAAACACCCCAACACACCAACACTATCAGCCTCGCTAAACACTCCAACACTGTCAGCCTCGCTAAACACTCCCACACACCAACACTATCAGCCTCGCTAAACACTCCAACACTATCAGCCTCGCTAAACACTCCAACACACAAACACTATCAGCCTCGCTAAACACTCCAACACTATCAGCCTCGCTAAACACACCAACACTATCAGCCTCGCTAAACACTCCAACACACAAAAACTATCAGCCTCGCTAAACACTCCAACACACAAAAACTATCAGCCTCGCTAAACACTCCAACACACCAACACTATCAGCCTCGCTAAACACTCCAACACACAAACACTATCAGCTTCGCTAAACACCCCCACACACCAACACTATCAGCTTCGCTAAACACTCCAACACTATCAGCCTCGCTAAACACTCCAACACACAAACACTATCAGCCTCGCTAAACACTCCAACACTATCAGCCTCGCTAAACACTCCAACACACCAACACTATCAGCCTCGCTAAACACTCCAACACACCAACACTATCAGCCTCGCTAAACACTCCAACACTATCAGCCTCGCTAAACACACCAACACTATCAGCCTCGCTAAACACACCAACACTATCAGCCTCGCTAAACACACCAACACTATCAGCCTCGCTAAACACTCCAACACTATCAGCCTCGCTAAACACACCAACACTATCAGCCTCGCTAAACACTCCAACACACCAACACTATCAGCCTCGCTAAACACTCCAACACTATCAGCCTCGCTAAACACCCCAACACACCAACACTATCAGCCTCGCTAAACACACCAACACTATCAGCCTCGCTAAACACTCCAACACTATCAGCCTCGCTAAACACACCAACACTATCAGCCTCGCTAAACACACCAACACTATCAGCCTCGCTAAACACTCCAACACTATCAGCCTCGCTAAACACTCCAACACTATCAGCCTCGCTAAACACACCAACACTATCAGCCTCGCTAAACACTCCAACACACCAACACTATCAGCCTCGCTAAACACTCCAACACTATCAGCCTCGCTAAACACCCCAACACACCAACACTATCAGCCTCGCTAAACACACCAACACTATCAGCCTCGCTAAACACTCCAACACTATCAGCCTCGCTAAACACTCCAACACTATCAGCCTCGCTAAACACTCCAACACTATCAGCCTCGCTAAACACTCCAACACTATCAGCCTCGCTAAACACTCCAACACTATCAGCCTCGCTAAACACACCAACACTATCAGCCTCGCTAAACACTCCAACACTATCAGCCTCGCTAAACACTCCAACACACAAACACTATCAGCTTCGCTAAACACCCCCACACACCAACACTATCAGCTTCGCTAAACACTCCAACACTATCAGCCTCGCTAAACACTCCAACACACAAACACTATCAGCTTCGCTAAACACCCCCACACACCAACACTATCAGCTTCGCTAAACACTCCAACACTATCAGCCTCGCTAAACACTCCAACACACAAACACTATCAGCTTCGCTAAACACCCCCACACACCAACACTATCAGCTTCGCTAAACACTCCAACACTATCAGCCTCGCTAAACACTCCAACACACAAACACTATCAGCTTCGCTAAACACCCCCACACACCAACACTATCAGCTTCGCTAAACACTCCAACACTATCAGCCTCGCTAAACACTCCAACACACAAACACTATCAGCTTCGCTAAACACCCCCACACACCAACACTATCAGCTTCGCTAAACACTCCAACACTATCAGCCTCGCTAAACACTCCAACACACCAACACTATCAGCCTCGCTAAACACTCCAACACACCAACACTATCAGCCTCGCTAAACACTCCAACACACCAACACTATCAGCCTCGCTGAACACTCCAACACACCAACACTATCAGCCTCGCTAAACACTCCAACACACCAACACTATCAGCCTCGCTAAACACCCCCACACACCAACACTATCAGCCTCGCTAAACACTCCAACACTATCATCCTCGCTAAACACTCCAACACTATCAGCCTCGCTAAACACTCCAACACTATCAGCCTCGCTAAACACACCAACACTATCAGCCTCGCTAAACACTCCAACACTATCAGCCTCGCTAAACACTCCAACACTATCAGCCTCGCTAAACACACCAACACTATCAGCCTCGCTAAACACTCCAACACTATCAGCCTCGCTAAACACTCCAACACACCAACACTATCAGCCTCGCTAAACACTCCAACACACCAACACTATCAGCCTCGCTAAACACTCCAACACACCAACACTATCAGCCTCGCTAAACACTCCAACACACCAACACTATCAGCCTCGCTAAACACTCCAACACACCAACACTATCAGCCTCGCTAAACACTCCAACACACCAACACTATCAGCCTCGCTAAACACTCCAACACACCAACACTATCAGCCTCGCTAAACACACCAACACTATCAGCCTCGCTAAACACTCCAACACACCAACACTATCAGCCTCGCTAAACACTCCAAAACCAACACTATCAGCCTCCTAAACACACCAACACTATCAGCCTCGCTAAACACTCCAACACACCAACACTATCAGCCTCGCTAAACACTCCAACACACCAACACTATCAGCCTCGCTAAACACTCCAACACACCAACACTATCAGCCTCGCTAAACACTCCAACACACCAACACTATCAGCCTCGCTAAACACTCCAACACACCAACACTATCAGCCTCGCTAAACACTCCAACACACCAACACTATCAGCCTCGCTAAACACTCCAACACACCAACACTATCAGCCTCGCTAAACACTCCAACACACCAACACTATCAGCCTCGCTAAACACTCCAACACACCAACACTATCAGCCTCGCTAAACACTCCAACACACCAACACTATCAGCCTCGCTAAACACTCCAACACACCAACACTATCAGCCTCGCTAAACACTCCAACACACCAACACTATCAGCCTCGCTAAACACTCCAACACACCAACACTATCAGCCTCGCTAAACTCCACTCCAACACTATCAGCCTCGCTAAACACTCCTAAACACACCAACACTATCAGCCTCGCTAAACACTCCAACACACCAACACTATCAGCCTCGCTAAACACTCCAACACACCAACACTATCAGCCTCGCTAAACACTCCAACACTATCAGCCTCGCTAAACACTCCAACACACCAACACTATCAGCCTCGCTAAACACTCCAACACTATCAGCCTCGCTAAACACTCCAACACTATCAGCCTCGCTAAACACACCAACACTATCAGCCTCGCTAAACACTCCAACACTATCAGCCTCGCTAAACTAAACACTCCAACACTATCAGCCTCGCTAAACACTCCAACACCAACACTATCAGCCTCGCTAAACACTCCAACACTATCAGCCTCGCTAAACACACCAACACTATCAGCCTCGCTAAACACACCAACACTATCAGCCTCGCTAAACACTCCAACACTATCAGCCTCGCTAAACACTCCAACACTATCAGCCTCGCTAAACACTCCAACACTATCAGCCTCGCTAAACACTCCAACACTATCAGCCTCGCTAAACACTCCAACACTATCAGCCTCGCTAAACACTCCAACACTATCAGCCTCGCTAAACACTCCAACACTATCAGCCTCGCTAAACACTCCAACACTATCAGCCTCGCTAAACACTCCAACACTATCAGCCTCGCTAAACACTCCAACACTATCAGCCTCGCTAAACACTCCAACACTATCAGCCTCGCTAAACACTCCAACACTATCAGCCTCGCTAAACACTCCAACACTATCAGCCTCGCTAAACACTCCAACACTATCAGCCTCGCTAAACACTCCAACACTATCAGCCTCGCTAAACACTCCAACACTATCAGCCTCGCTAAACACTCCAACACTATCAGCCTCGCTAAACACTCCAACACTATCAGCCTCGCTAAACACTCCAACACTATCAGCCTCGCTAAACACTCCAACACTATCAGCCTCGCTAAACACTCCAACACTATCAGCCTCGCTAAACACTCCAACACTATCAGCCTCGCTAAACACTCCAACACTATCAGCCTCGCTAAACACTCCAACACTATCAGCCTCGCTAAACACTCCAACACACCAACACTATCAGCCTCGCTAAACACTCCAACACTATCAGCCTCGCTCAGCCTCCAACACTAAACACTCGCAACACACCAACACTATCCGCCTCGCTAAACACTCCAACACACCAACACTATCAGCCTCGCTAAACACTCCAACACTATCAGCCTCGCTAAACACTCCAACACTATCAGCCTCGCTAAACACTCCAACACTATCAGCCTCGCTAAACACTCCAACACACCAACACTATCAGCCTCGCTAAACACTCCAACACACCAACACTATCAGCCTCGCTAAACACTCCAACACACCAACACTATCAGCCTCGCTAAACACTCCAACACACCAACACTATCAGCCTCGCTAAACACTCCAA